ATTCTTCCGTTGTTTCTTTGCACCATCCAACAGCAATCATAAGAAGAAAGTACATACGAAAAAACAGATGAAGATGAGTTGAATCCCGATCTAGATCAACCTTAACAGTTTATTAAATCTGAATTAAATGGCTTAGTGATAGACTTAGGCCTATCAAAGGATACTGGCATCCTTCGACAGGACCTAAGGATCACGACTAAAAGATAAAAAACTTTTTGCTCCAGAAACCACGTTTTCGTGGTATAGGCATCATGAAAAAGAGTTCGAGAAATATTTCTCTCAGAAGGATTCACTGATGTATTGTATTACATTGAATATAATTATATTCCTGAATATGATTATATTCCTGAAGTAGTGGTGAAACTGAGAGCTGACAAGTACAATTCTACATCATGACGGATATTTATTGATTCTTCTAAGTTATGCGTCAGTGCCTGTTGCTCACTCCGTGCATCTCAAATAAATGTATGAGAATCTTGAGCTGTTGCTAAATAAAATAAAGTATAGCAAATATTATTGGCAACTCTATGGAGATCTCAAAATAATATCCATGCTTTTGGGTCAGCAGTCTGGATTCACAATGTATCCAGGTTTTTTGTGCGATTGGGACAATCCAGCACGAATTTTACATTACGTTAAGAAAGAATAGCCATTTAGAGAAAGACTTGTACCGGTATAAGCCACAATTGAAGGTTAAAATAAGTTTATTGATGTTTCAATTTTCACTTCGGTAATCGTTCTTATAGTAAATCGTAAAATACAAACAATAATATATTAAACAAATTTTGTTTCTTGTACCGGGACAAAAAATGATCAGTTCTGTTTAAATTAGTTGACCAAAAATTAGTTTTTTGACCTCACCTTCACATAAAGTCAGAATTATTGAAACAGTTTTTTTAGTGGCATTGACATTAGTCATTCAGCCAGTTGCAATAGATTATCCAATCAGACAAATGCACAAGTCTATCCCTAAAAGAAAACTAACGGATAATTAATAGAAGATTGTACGACAAGGAAACTTACAGGGTCTCTTGCTTCTCTTCTTAGTAGACAAACAAAACTGGACCACGGATAAGGTGTTATAACATTTAGGGTAAACAAAGAGTCCAAATCTAAATTTCCACACGATCACGAAAAATTTCATGCTCGCGTACAAATTCTATAGAACCGTGCATGTGTCTGACAATAAATCTATAATGATATATATTTTGTGAATATTGAACGGTGCATACATATTAAATTCGATTAGAGATTAGAGATTAGAGTTTGAATGCTGTTGAAACTTAAAGCATTCATAAAAGATATGATCAAGATCACACAGTTTTCCGCAATGTTTGCAATTATCATCTTCAATCACATTTATTTTATATAAATTACTTGGATATCACGCATGTCCAAAGCGTAGTCTATTTATGGTGGTTATATATTTACGAGGAGATTTAAAATTCCTAAACCAAGTAGTTTGTGGAATAACTTGTTGTCAAGTGGTGTATCTTGTTTGGTTTGTAAGGCAGTAAAGATTCAATTGATCTTTCCATGTCGATAGCTGTTTTTTTAAATCCGAATGGCATCTGATAGGTACACATAAAGAATATGACAATAAAGTGCCTGATATACTGGTTTTAGCTAAGTGATCTACATATTCATTATCTTTGAGCCCAATATATGCTTTAACCCAAATAAATTTTATATTAAATCCAGAGTCTGCTAAGTGCTTTAATTGATCTTTTATTAGAAAACTATAAGTATTACTAAATGTTTTGGGCAAAAAAGTGTTTTTTATGTTCTGTAGAACTGAAAGGCAGTATGAAAGAATTAACGATTTTTTAATATAAAAGTTTTTAACATATTTCAAAGCTTCGAGTATGGCCAATGATTCCGCCGAGAAAATTGAAAACTCATTGGAAAGTTTGTACTTAAATTCAGAACCTCCTGAGGGTAGAAAATAGGCACAGCCAGTCCCTTCTATTGATTTGGATGCGTCCGTGTATATAACTGTGGCATCACTATAACAGTTCAAAACAGATCTCAGAATATTGTTGCTCAATTTGTTGTTGTCACTATATGTGGGTATTATAACTTCAGTTTTATGGAAGAGAGCAAAGGAGTCTAAATTTTTTTCCACTTTGGCCAAATTCTTTGAAAAAATTAAACTGTTCTGTAAAACAGTGCACAAAGGTGGAGATGGCTTTTTAATCCAATATTTGTGAGTGAGATCTGATTCGTTAAGTTGACGTATACTGGAAAATAATTTGGGATTTGTTGAGTGGGCTTTGAGTACCCATTTTCCGCTTAATAAATTTCTTCTAATCGAAAGAGGAGGCTCATAAGCTTCAACATGTAGTGGTTGTATAGGGGTCGATCTAAACAGACCCTTAAGACAGAATTTTGAAAAATGTCAATTTTTCTTAGAAGATTTCTAGATGCAGAACCGTAGAGAGTAACACCATTATCTATAATGGATCATATATAAGCTCTGTAAAACAATAATGATGTTTCTACATCGCAACCCCACCACACTTTGGTTGTCATTCTAAGAAAATTACTACCTTTGTTGCATCTATCCAGCATATATGGTATGTGTTGTTTCCAAGTCAATTTTTTACCCAGTATAAGGCCCAGGTAGGTATTTGACATGGTTTTTAAAAGTAAAAGATTGATTATTAAGAAGTATATTTTGATTTAGAGAAAGGTTGTGTCTTGTAAAGACAGATACTGCTGATTTGGCAATTGATAAATTTAAGCCGTTATCTAAATACCATGGGAAAAGAGAACTACATACTCTGCTTAGATTTTGCATACCGTTTTCATATTTCTTACTTTCTGTATAGACACAAAAGTAATCTGCATATTGTATAATTTTAAATGGATGTTGTTTATTTGCATATTATGTATGTCAGAGGTGTACATATTAAATAAAATTGGCGATAATACCGAGCCTTGTGGTATGCCGTGATAGTTCTGTTTAGGTCCTATTAGTTTGTTATTGTGGTCTCTGACGTAGATTACCCTGTCTGTATAGAAACTGATAATTGTGTTAACGAAAGCAATTGGCAAATGAAAGAAATTTACCATTTTGAATTTCAATATTGACAAACAAACTGATTCATATGCTCCTTCAATATCCAAGAATAGGGCTGTTAAATAGTTATTCCTAGTTAAGTTGTTCTGTACATCAACAACAAGTGTTGTTAAAGCGTCCAGAGTTCCAAAACCTCTTTTGTAACCAAACTGGTGTACTGGTAGTAATTTCTCTTTTTGAATCCACCAATCTAATCTAAATTTTATAAGCCTTTCTAGGGTTTTGAATACGCATGAGAGCAAGGATATTGGTCTATATGAACTCACAATATTTGGATCCTTTCCGGGTTTAAGGATAGAAACGATTAAGATATTTTTAAAGGAATCGATAACTATGTTATTTTGGATGATATCATTGAAGATATGTAATTGATGGTTTTTTGCAACCGTTGGTAGGTTGATTAACACGGGGTATTTTACATGATCGATTCCAAGGGAAGTATTAATGTGGTTTTTAAGGGCGAAGTCTAATTCAGTTTTAGTAAAAGGTTTTAATAGAAAGTGATTATTTGAATGATGACTTTGTGTAGGCTGTGTAGGTGAATGTTGAACCCATGGAGGAGATACTCTATTAAAGAAGTCTTCTAATAGAGTATCATTGAAGGGTTTTGTACTATTATGTGATTTTCGGTTCATTTTGTTAGCTTGTGACCATATTTCTTTAGAAGAAGTATTTTTGCTTAAATTAGAACACCATTTGATCCAACTAGCTTTGGCTTTTTGTTTCAGCTGCTTTTTAGTATGAGCAGTAATTTTCTAACATTTTAGATAATTATCAAGGCTTGGTGAACGTTTATAAACTGCTAATGCTTCTTTTCTGGTATTAATTCTCAGATCACATTCTGGGTCCCACCATGGCGGAGGGGATCGATTTTTGGATTTAAAAATTTTATATTGAGGAATAGATTTAATGGCAGCATGATTAATGCAATTTATTAGAAAGTTATAATTTTCATAAGTATTAAGGGAGTTACTTTTATTAGAAAACATGTTTTCAATTAAAGATGTATACAGGGACCAATTGGCCTTTTTGATGTTCCATTTACTTTTTGGATAAATTGTTTCTTGCGATGTGTAGGTTACTGAAAAATTCATGGTTATTGCAAAATGATTGGAGCCTAAGGTGTCAGATAAAACTGACCAGGTGATTTTACTAGCTATATTAGCTGTGCAGAGGGAGCTGTGCCATATCTAGGAAGATAGGTAGGTTCACCATTATTCAAAATTACAAGATCTACATCCTCAACACTACTAACAATTTGGTGACCAACTGCATCATTTTGTAATGAGCTCCATAGTGAGTTATGGGCGTTCATATCTCCTCCAATTATAAAAGGTGATTTGACTTGTGAGAAGATATTTATCCAATCATTTTTGGAAGTACGAATTTTAGGTGGTCTATATATAGATAGAAAATTTAATTCTGTTGTATTAATTTTGAAGGTAGCACCGCAGACTAAAATTTCATCGTTAAAATTGTTACTAATATTTATTTGACAAAATGGTATGGTTGTTTTAATTAAGATTGCAACACCTGCGTACCCGTCATACCTATCTTGGCGAATTACATTGTAACCTTTAAATATATAATTCTGATTCAATGTCAATATTTTCAGTTGTTAAAAAATTAACTAAGCTGTTTTTATTCGAAACAACGGATCGAGCATTGCATTGCAAAATTGTTAATAATTTAAGTTCTGTGAAGGTGTTATTTATTGATAATATCCTCCAAAATCGTTTTTATTCCATGGTAAATACTATCTTGACTTATTGTTTTTATATCATCTACAGTTTGAATATTTGTGATTAAATTAAAAATGTAATTGGAAATGAGTGTTTGTAGAACTGTCTGATCTGGTTTATTTTGACAATTAGGGATGTTTAAATTAGAAGGAAGGAATAAATAATAAATATAAAATCCAATTAATATTAACCTTATATTACAATATTATATTAAAACAAAATATCAAATAAAGATCATACATCGTTATTTCTCTGTTTTTCATGTCTTTGGTGTGAAGATGACTTCCGGTGTTTACGATGTTTCTTATGTGATTTTGCGTAAAACTCATTAATTAACGTAAGTGCTTCCCCATTCGCCCATCCAAAACCAGTTTGAACGACGTATTCTCCACCACCACCATATTCCCCTGGATGTATTGCATCGTATTTTTCAAACATATCCTTGGTTGTTTCGAATCCTCTCATGTAAGCCTCGACGATCTTCTTGGCTTCAGATTTGGCTAACCTTTCAGCTTTTTTCGATCCAGTTTTACGCAGACCTGTCGAAAAAATTAAAAATACATAAATATTATTGTTCGATATAGACAAATATACTGACTTTTAAAAAAATCCCAACACCCAGTACCTAATAGTTAATTAATTTCAATATGATTTATGAAGATTAATATGATTAATTACATTTTTAACCTAAAATATTAAAAAAATAATAAAAAATGTACTACTCATGACTCATAAGTGATTTCGCAGTGGTTCTTTTTATACATTCATAACTCGTTTGTATAGACAGGGTGTGAGAAAAGAAGCGAAATTTACATCGGATAACATAACTTAAAAACACTTTTTTCAATTTTTCATAATTTTTCAAAAATCTCTCGAATAATATCAAAGAAGCCCTCTCATCTCCACCCTCTATGGGTTGGGCTGGGGTCAATTTTAAAATCTTAAATAGGAACTCTCACTGTTTATTACATTTTTGCATTCTTTATGCAGAAATAAGTAACATTTATTCGAGACATTTGTTCGAATGATTGATAGATGGAGCAATGATCGAAAAAAAAAAGACGATTTATTCTGATACCCTGTGATCATTATAGAAACGGTCTAATATCTCGAGAAATACACTGCTAAATAAAAAACTAAAAAATGCGTGTTTAATATTTTTCAAAAATCTATCGAATTACACCAAACACGACCCTCTACCCTGCACGCTTTGAAAACCCCATTTTTTATTACAGATTTGAATTTTTCTCTGTTTTGTAATTACTTTTGTGCTACGTTATTCTTTGTTTTAACCATTGCGATGTTTGGTCTATATACTGCCCATTACATTCGAGATAAGAAAGCTGGTAAATCAGATTAGTCTGCTTTAGAAGCTGTGTCCGGTCTATAAACTTCGAGAATAAGTTGTAATTGGATATACTGTTATATACGGCTATTTTGATTTTAGGTATTCCACACTTACTCCAGTCACCAGAGACGAAAACGCCACTGAACCTCTAAGAATCATACGAACAAGCTGAATTTTGCCGAGTATATTAATTTTGTCATTCCAAAAAAGATGTTAAAAAGTTCACCACTTTTACTCCTGGGCTTCCCCCCAAAAATCCCCTCGCAGTGGGGTAAAAACGCAAAAAATCGATTTACCAAGAATCTGTACACCTTAGAAAAAATATTTTAAATAAAAAATGTAGCTGAGATAATTTTAAACCAAAATGTTAATAAACCTTTTTTATATAGAACAAACCATTGTCGTAGAAACAACGCTTGAAGCAACCGTCGAATTTGCATGTCAGTTACGCGTGCGAAATCAATGTTTTATAAAATTTGTATCAGCTCGACGTGAAAAATTCGATATCTTTTGACGTAAGTAACCTATCGACAAAAATCGAGATGCGTTTTAAAGGTAAAGAGTTCAGCTTTCGTATACAGTTTTTGTATTTTGCCGAGAAGAAACTCAGTTTTATATATATATATATATATATATAATATATATATATATATATATATATATATATAAATAAGAAATATAGACCCTGTCATAATATTCATTAGTAAAAAGATAATATACCTAAGACAACGAACTCTTGTATTGGAGGCCATGCGTTCGGCATATCCCATTGTTGGCCACTTTGGATTAAGGATGACGGTATTCCACCAGCGTAAGAAGGAACCTTCATCTTTTTATAGTAAGTAGCAGCCCTAATACCAAATGTTTCCTTCTTGGTAGTATCGTAAGCGTCAGCCCAAAGAGGAGCGAAGTTGCTGGGATAAAATTCCTTTCTGTGAGTGTTATGATTTAGATCGAAGTCATACCAAATACCGTCCTCATCATTGTAATTGACTGCTTGAATTGCGGATCTTAAATTTAACTGCTTATGGGACCATGCCTCCGCCTTTTCGTTATTACCTACAAGTTGATAAAACCTAGAGAGTTCTTCAAAGGCTTTGCAGAGGAAAGCGTTTAGATCTACTGGTACGACGTTAATGATATCTATTTGAGAGAGGTTTGTACTGGGGGTTCTGTCGTCATTGTATAACCAACGGGTAGAGAAGTCCCAACCACTTTCTGCACCACTTTTTAAGTTTCTGTAACAGACTTTCTGCAAAGAAAAAAGTAATCGGATTAATGATAAATATCTATACAGAATGATTTAAAAATACTATTTTATAATGAGTGTCTCAGAGTATATTTCAGTTGTTAAATCAATGAAACTTGGTTCCAGAACCGGTTAGAAAAACATATATTACTCAAATAGACACACAGACCCACATGCGGATTTCATTTCCCGAATAATACGTCAATTAAATGACCATCTCGCTCGTAGCACTTTTGCTATCTGGATTGCAAATTGTGAAAGACGCCCTCACATATATCCACTGAAATATTAAATTCTTTGTGAAATTAGCGTGCCTGGAAATATTTCTGTTAGAGCGGTATCGGAAATGTTCGCTGTGTATGCGCAGTTAAAAAGAAGTTTGTTTAGTTAATCGGGTTCAGCTCAGCTCATGTCGAAAAATTTTTGATTTTGTGGTAGAGCATGCTGTAGGTGATAGAGGTACTTATGTTAGTTTAGAAGTCTTAGGTTAGTCCCTTTTAGGATTATTGGATTTAGGTGCATCGAGGACTATTAAAGGTAGTAAATATTTGTCTGTTATTAGAGATTTAAGTCTTATTGTAGATAGTAGTTGTAGGACAACTTGTTTAGTAGCTAATGGAACCCGCTTTTAATCTGTTGGGGTAGTCGAGCTACCAATTAAGTTGAAAGATAGGCTCCGTTTAATAGAAGCCCTTGTTATTCCTGATGTGACTCATTTGTTAATACTTAATGCAGATTTTTGGCGTGGTATGGATATAGTTCCAGATCATAGGCAAAGTGTGTGGTCATTCACTAATGAAACGATAATTGTTAACTCTGTGACTCAAGTGAGTAGTCAAAGTGTCTTGAGTTTTTTGAAGAATTTCTGTCTTTAAGCTATTTGTTGGGGTTGTGAAACCTTCAAAGAGTTCTTGTTCTTCCCCAAAATTATTGGTTACAAAGAAAGATAGTGAATTCCACTCATATCTGATATCCTTAATAAATAGCGAAAGTATATTTCTAGTATGGATGTAAAATGGGCTTACTGGCAAGTGAAAGTGGCTGAGGACTCGAAACAGTACACCGTTTTTACTGTCCAAAATAGAGAATTGTTTCAGTTTCTTCGTATGCCGTTTGGATTACATAATTTTCCGGCTGCGTGGCAGAAATTGGTGAAAAAAATATTAGGTCATAATTTGGAACCCTATGTGTTCGTGTAGCTAGACGATATTGTAATAGTAACCCAAACATTTAAGGATCATTTAAGAATATTAGAAGAAGTATTTAAACGTTTTAGGGAAGCAAGAATCACTATTGGTGTTGAGCAGTACCAGTTTTGTATCAGAGTTCTGATCCCAACAAAGTTAAAGCCATGCTTGATCTGTCTGTTCCCTGTAATGCATCGGACGTACGTAGGGTTATCGGCACGTTCTCTTGGCATAGAAGTTTTATTTTGTTTTAGCTCCGATAACTGCTCTTCTTGGGAAGAATTCTAAATTCCAGTGGGCAGATACTTGTGATCGATTGTTTAAAAATACTAAGGAATGTTTAGTGTTCAAGATCCTGTTTTGAGTTGTCTGGGTTACGAGAAGTCTTTTGTTGTAGAGACAAATGCCTTTGGTTTTGGACTAGATCTGCCTCATTTAACTTCATCCTGATGGCGAACGACTGATTGCTTATGTGCGTCGTTCTTTTACAAGACAGGAGCGAAACTATTCCTCGATTGAAAGAGAGTACCTTGCGGTATTGTGGGCAATTAAGATATTAAGACCTTATTTAGAAGCTGTTTTCTTTACAGTGATTACGGAGCACTATAGTTTATTGTGGCTTCAGAACATAAAAAGTTTGGCAGGTCGTTTGGCTCGCTGGCCGGTACGGCTAGGTGGTAAAGGTTTGGTGGTTCTGGACGCTTTAAGTAGATCTGTTGTAGTAATCGATGTTGTAGATTTACAGAACTATGTTATCGAACCCAATGAAAATTTGAATAAATGAAAAGTAGCAGCGGAAGATGATAGTTAGTACATTATGATGATGGGTAGGGTAGGGGATCCTCGTCAACTTAGATCGAGAGTAACATATAGTTTATTGTGGAAATACATACCTTCTGACTATTGTGAATTAGAACCTGCCTCGGATTCATAGAGATTACTATTACCAAAGAAATGTCTTGTAGAACAGTACTAAATCAAGTATCTCTATGCATTTTCAGCGTTATTTCTAATGAATTGGCTCTTTTGTTATTTTACAGTCATTAATAATCATAAAGTATTATGAGAAAACGTTATTCAACTAGATGCAATGTAGAATTTTCGACCGCAGGGTACAGTTGTTTTCAAAACTCCTACTGCACGCATAGAAAGCTCCAAAAACCTTTCTCACCTTGGAGTCCACTATAGACTACGAACAAGAGAAAGAAGTCATCGACCATTGGAGATTAACAAAGGGTAAAAAAAGATTAATAGGATTAAATATTTTTGATTTGTTAGTTCAGTAATCCTTCAGTTTTATTGTCATATTAAGATAAAAATAAAAATGGTAGTTATTAAAACCATATTTCAATATTATTTTAATATACCTAAATTATATATAAGCCTTACCTTCTCCGATTCGGTAAAATTCTGGCATGTAACAATATCTTCATAGTAGGATTCCGGTCTGGGTGTGTCACTTTTGACAGCATACATGAACATATCATAGTTGGCTCCATCTTTCTTTACTGTTATTTTTCGTTCACTCCACCACCAATTCATTTCCTTTTCAAGAGTATCTACGTGTTTTTCTAACCATGTTTTGTTTCCTGTTTGATCTATATACTTTCCCATCATCATGGCTAACAATGGTGGTTGTGATCTATTTAGATAGTATACTCTACTACCATTTGGAATGAAGCCAAATCTCTCCACAATTGATAAGAAATTCTCTAAAACTCCTCTAACTGTTTCAGTCATTTCACTGACTAATAATCCTTCTACTATCCAGTAACTATCCCAATAATAGATTTCTTTAAACCGTCCTCCTGGGATTATAAAGCCATTAGGAAGGTGAATCAAAGAATGTTGATCTGTGTGTTCCTTTACACTATCGCTAACTTTTCTTGCAAGTTTAGGCCAAACGTTTACTAAACTTTGAGCGAAGGATTTAACTCTGGCATCATCTATCCTTTTTATGAAAGCTGGGTTTTTATTCAGGTCTGGAGGAGTCCAATCAACTAATTCTCCTGTATTCTCAAAGTTGTCATTGACAAATTTAATCAAATCTTCTCTAGAAGGATTATCTTTCTTGTTTTTCATTAATTGATTGAAGTTTTGTAACGTTTCTTGAGCGGGTTGTTTTTGTTGCATGTCTACAAATGTTTTGGAATCTGGAAATAGTCTTGCCATTTGAATGGTGTGTAGAAGATTGCCTTGACAGTAGATTGGACTGTCACATGAAGGTATAGAGTTTGCATTCACAGTACTAGCCATGAACGCAATAGCCAAAAGCACTGCGACGTGGTGACCCATGGTTCAAAACGGTTGTGGTCCGCTGAAAATAAAATATAATAGATAAATCATAAACACAACATACTGACATTGATAGTAATAAGATGGTATGCTATATAAAGCAAAGTAATAAAAAAATATATTCAATCAATTGATGATTAGTTAATTTGCAGATTTGACTATTTAATGTATATAGTGACCCTCAACCAATCCTATATCAAGACCCCCCGGAAGACCACCTAAAAGATGGAGGGATAGTTGGCAATCTACCTCCAAGAAATTAACCAGAGGCAGCTTCAGAATTAAACAGATCGAAAGATCTACAAAAAGTAGAAGAAGAAGAAGAATGTATATAGTGAAGCCATTTTTGAAGAATCATTACTATCTCAAAATGAAGGAATAATAATTAACGGAAGATCTATTAACAACTTAAGATATGCAGATGACACCGTGATTATGGCAAGCTCTGCTGAACAACTCTAATTACTGCTAAACAAAACAAACAGTTTCTGTGAAAAATATGGACTAAAAATGAGTATAAAAAAGACCAAATACATGATAATAAAGAAAACAAATATATCAACAAACATATATTTGGGAAATGTACCGATAGAAAGGGTTCATAAATAAAAATACCTAGGAACCTGGATTTCAGACAATAATGATCAAACAACCGAAATAAGAGCTAGGATAGAAATAGCAAGAAATGCGTTTGTAAAAATGAAAACAATTCTCTGCAACAAAGATCTTAGATTAGAACTGAGAGAAAGAGCACTGAGATGCTACGTGTTTTCGATACTGCAATATGGACTTGAAAGATGGACATTAAAGCAAGAACACATAAAGTTACAGTCCTTTGAAATGTGGTGTTACAGGAGGATGCTTAGAATAGCATAGACACAGAAGAAAACTAACACGGAAGTATTGAAATAATAAACACAATAAAGATAAGAAAGTTACAATATCTGGGACACGTAATGAGGGGACAACGATATGAAACTGCTAATGCTGACAATACAGGGAAAGATAAGAGGAGGAAGGAGTATAGGAAGAAAAAGAGTGTCATGGTTGAATAATTTAAGGGACTGGTATAACTGCAGTTCTATAAAACTCTTCAGAGCAGCAGTAGATAAAGTAAAGATAGTGATGATGATATCCAACCTCCGATTGGGAGACGGCACTTAAAGAAGAAGAAATTTGCAGAGGTCTACCTTTTGGGCAATCAGAACTGAAATTTTAGAGCTCTTTTTCCACTACAAAGCTAACATTAGCTTTAGACGGAGAAGAACCATGAGTGCGGCAATTTGAAAATTAAACAAATAGTCTACATTTTTTTTATTAAAGGCGGGTGTAATAATTTCCCCCATGTCCAACGATAGTAATAGAAGGAAGAAAATGAATAATCCAATATTCAAACCGAAAATAAGTTTTAACCAGCCCCGAAAACATAGGAAATTCAAGGTTTTTTTTTCAAAAACACTCCAAACCAATGGCTTTTTATGTACTTTTTAAAATATAATATATTAATTAGCCATAAGGGTGTGAATAAAGGTTCTAAAAGGGAATTATCTGCGTAAACCTGCAACTTTGGATTGCGAACCCAAATAAATCGACAAATCTTGCTAAATTTGATTCATATAGATTCTTACATTTACATAAATATACCCATAAAAAATTTATTTGTATTATGACGATCCACACAAATTAATATACATAATACGAATTTATAAAGGTTGGAAACTACTTATCTAATAAAATGATATCTGCTCTTGTTTTAAAAAATTATAAAAAACGCTGATAATGATCGACTAAGTGAGAGCGCCCACCAAAGTGGCGTGGCACGTGGCAAGTGGCAAGTAGCACGCGTCTAGCATGTTTCTTAAAATGTAACCAATGAAAACGAATGATCAGCGCACACAAAAATGACAGTGACGTCATTCATTCTAATCATTCGTTTCATTGGTTACATTTTAAGAAACATGCTAGACGCGTGCTACTTGCTACGTGCTACTTGCCACGCCAGTTTGGTGGGCGCTGGGCATAAGATACCGGGTGTTCCAAGATATTTTTAACAGCCTATAATTTAGAAAGAAATAAATCTTTTTAAATAACTGATGGATTTGCCCCTTACTTGGTAGATACCAGAGATACAAGATATCAACAAAAATAGCCCAACACATAAAAAAGAAAGGAATAACACCAGCCTTCAAAACAAACAACCACTTGGGCAAATATATTAAGGAAAAACAAGAGCCAAAAGAAAAAGCACTTACACAGTGGTGTATAAAAACTTAATGTGGCGACTGGCCAAAAACTTACATTGGTCAAACTGGTAGAACTTTTAACAAACATATAGCAGAGCATAAAAGGGCTTTCAATATCGAAAACATATTCTACGTACGCACTTCACCTTCTAGACCATAACCATTCTTTAATTGACCAATTTTCAAAGTTTTCACATCCAAAATGAGGCCTTAAGCTATCTTTAATAGAATCTACAGAAATTAATAAATTAAAAAATACGTACATAATTCTAAATGTAGACCTTAAGACAAACACTTCTCTTCTTATTATTATTATTTAGCTAAAGACTATAAAGTGTAAATGTATGCCAAAAATAGATTACTTGAGAACGGAATTCTGCCTAAACAGCTTTAGTGGTAATAAATTACAAAAAAAAATGTGGAAGTTTTGAAAACAAAAGTTTTAATGTTTTATTGTTAGATAAATATTTCTATTTGAAAATTGGGAAATGTCAATTTAGACCTACAATACTACCAATTGATATATACATGAGATCTGTGACATCACATGCGCTGTAACGTCATTACAATAAAAACATGTACATGACACATTTATCGTCTCTGGCGATACACGCTTGTCTAATTTTAGTTTTTAAATAGTCTACATCTGTAAGTTCTTCGTTATAAGCGATTCATTTTTCTATTCATCTAATTTTCAATAGCCCCATACAAAAAATCTAATGGTGATAACACAGGCGATCTTGGAGGGCTTCGGACGAATTCGTTAGTCATGACCGATGTATTTTGAAATGTGACATTAAGGTAATTGATTACAATACCGCTGTTATGTGTTGGTGAGCCATCTGATTTACTATACCATAACCATCTTTCGCGTAAAGGCATATTCTCCAGCAACAATGATACTTAATTTTTCAGCAAATTCAGATACCACTGACTGTTTGAAAATGAAATATATATATATATATATATATATATATATATATATATATATTATATATATATAAGACCTATTAAACGCCCAATAAATGACCAATACCAAACATTAATTTCCCATCTAGTTTGAAAGCGAGTTTCACTTAACCAGTGCGGATTTTCCACTGACCAATAATGGGAGTTATGGTAATTTACAATCCCATTATTATGTAAACGAGCTTCATCACTCCACGAAATTTTAGTTAAAAACTTATGAGTGTTTTGCATCATCACTTGCATTATGGTGATGAAAGTAGTTTTCAATCCAAATTACAATTCATGAACCAAACACAATTTAAATGGATTGTAATGGTGGTTTTTTAAAATCCTTTGAACTGTAGTTAAAGGCACCCTAGTTTCTGCAGCAATGGACCTTACGGACACATGTGGATTATTCCTTGCCTTGAAATAAACATTGTGCATCTCCTCCTGAACTATAGCAGAAGTTACATAAGACGGTGTTATTCTTTGGGAAAGCGTGTTCTTCAGCATTTTGAGCATTTTTACTACATTGACCATAAATCAACAACATATCTAAGTATTTATTAGGTGTAAATAAGAAAGACATTTTACTACTGTATGAACTTACGATATTTCAAAATTCTATTTTAAAACTGTAATTAAGGTATTAGTGAGTAAACATAAGATTGTAGTTGTCGAAAAACGATTAAAATAAATTCCGAATTTATAAAAACTATAAAAATGTGCTAGTTTGAGGTTAATTTGGAGATGATCTGTGCGCCATTTAATTGAAACTTTAGCGTATTAATTAACATAAATATGCTCATAATACGTTGAATTTGCAATAAAAAAAGCCTTTCGTTTGACCTAACCTTCATTCCATGACCCATTTAATTTTTTCTATTGTAGTAAAGTCACAACACCCGTGATGTCAGAAATCTCGTGTACATATAAATCGATTGATGGTATTGTAGGTCTAAGTGATATTTTCCAATTTTCAACTAAAAATATTCATTACTTCCTAAATTATACGCTGTTAAAAACACCTTGGAACATCCTGTGTATATATAAATGTGCGGTTTATAAACATAAATTACCCCTGTATACTTACATAAACATTGTATTTACATAAACATCCTGTATATTTTGATATTTTTAAAAGTTCCTTAACATTCATATTTCTACAAACTATATAAATAATACAGGGTGAAATTTTAAAATTATAAAGTGTGGAATAAACTTTTTTGTATCCTTATTATAGATAATTATAATATATATATATATATTTATATATATATATATATATATATATAATATATATATATATATATATATATATATATATATAGTTCAGCTCAACAGGCCTCAAAGGCCAAGGCTTCAACGGTTTTCTTCCATTTCTTTCTATCTTGTGCTAAGTTTTTCCAATCTTGTACCCGCAGCGACTTCAGATCTTCTTTTGCCGACTCCAGCCATTTTCTTCGGGGGCGGCCTCTTTTTCTTTTTGTACCAGCCTCCGTGTTTATTAATTCATTGGGAACTCTTCCTTCCTTCATTCTTGCTATATGCCCGAGCCATCTTAATCTTTGAATTTTCGCGAGTCTTGTTATTTTTGGTTGCCCATATATTTGCATTATTTCTTCATTCGTTCTTCTTCGCCAGATGTTCACCTCTTTTACACCTCCGTATATCCTTCTAAGAATTTTTCGTTCCCATCTATCTAATTTTACTTCCTTATCTTTATTTAGTGTCCAGGTCTCGCTAGCATAGAGTACTGTAGGTCGGATAACTGTTGTGTATATTCGTTTTTTTGCTGTTCTGGAT